TTTTTTGGTTGCAGCCGTCATTGTTGTTTGGCGGATCCGGGCTGGGAATTCGAACCCGCCACCTTAGGTGTACGTGGCTGGCACCTTAGCCAGTTGAGCTATAGGTGCTAAGCCCTGATTCAGTTTTTGTTTTCGAATGGAAGACACTGTACATAGATATAATACCCAAGTTAAATAATGGCTCTACATCAAAAGGTCAAAAATGGCTCAAGAGGCTAGGCGCCCGTAGCATAGTAGTTACAGCGCCAGCCACATACACTGAAGTTGGCGGGTTGGAACCCAGCCCAGGACAGCTAAATAACAACAACTGCAACAAAAAATAGCGGGGCACTGGGGCAGGCACCTGTAGTCCCAGCTATAAGGGAGGCTGAGACAAGAGAACTGCTTAAACCCAAGAGTTGGAGGTTGCTGTGAGCTATGAGCCATGGCACTCTACTGAAGGCAGCACAGTGAGACTCTGTCTCCAAAAAAAAAAAAAAAAGGGCTCAAAGAATTTTCCTCAAATATTTTTCTTCTAGCAAGAATTAAACTTAAACACCTGAATAAGTTGGTCATGTCATGACATGACATGTCCCCCTTACTTTTTTTTCCTTTCTTTTTTTTTTTTTTTTTTTTTTTTGAGACAGAGTCTCACTTTGTCACCCTCGGTGGAGTGCCATGGCATCATAGCTCACAACAACCTCAAACTCTTGCAGTCAAGAGATTCTCTTGCCTCAGCCTCCCAAGTAGCTGGTACTACAGGTGCCCACCACAATGCCCGGCTACTTTTCTCACTCTGGCTGAGGCTGGTCTCGAACCTGTGAACTCAGGCAATCTAACCTCCTCGTCCTTCCAAGTGCTAGGATTTACAGGCATGAGCCACGTCCCACTCGGCCCTTGTTTTTCCCTTTTTAAAAACAATTTTTCCCCCAGATCTTACAGAAGAGACCCTCTTACATCTGTATGTTGTTCTTTTTAAACCTATTCATGTATATTAAATATGAGCCCATTGAGCCAGGAAGGGCACATATTATCATTATCCTTCTTTTAGGAAAAAAGGTCCAACGTTAAGTGAGCCAATACCCAGATCATCTCAGTAATACTGCAATGGTTTTTATGTCATCCTGTACTGACTGTTACTATTTATCCTCCTATCTATACTCAGTCTTCTATACAGAGCTTTTAATATGCTTTTTCTTTTTTTTTTGAAACAATCTCACTTTGTCACCCTCCATAGAATGCCATGGCATCACACCTGACAGCAACCTCAAACTCTTGGGCTCAAGTGATCCTCTTGCCTCAGCCTCCCAAGTAGCCAGGGCTACAGGTGCCCACCACAATGCCTGGCTATTTTTAGAGATGGAGTCTCACTCTGGCACAGGCTGGTCTCAAACTCGAAACCCTGGAGCTCAAGTAATCCACTAGCCTTGGCCTCCCACAGTGCTAGGGTTACAGGCATGAGCCACTACACCCAGCAATATGCCCTTTTCTTAATTCACATTGGTCCAATAGGTTAGCAAAATTATGGTGCTAGAAGCCAAAATTTCTTAGCAATGATTTTCATAATAATTCTAGCAAGTCAAAGGCTTCTGGTTAATAGGTAAAATAAGAAAAAAAAAAAGAACTGGCTCGGGCCCATAGCTCCCCCGGCTAGGGCGCCAGCCAAGTTAAGGTGGCGGGTTCGAATCCCCAGCCCGGACCCGCCAAACAACAATGACAGCTGCAACCAAAAAATAGCCGCGCGTTGTGGCGAGCGCCTGTGGTCCCAGCTACTTGGGAGGCGGAGGCGGGAGACTCACTTGAGCCCAGGAGTTGGAGGTTGCTGTGAGCTGTAATGCCATGGCACTCTACCCAGGGGGACAGCTTGAGGCTCTGTCTCAAAAAAAAAAAAAAAGAAAAAGAAAAAAAAGAACTACTTTAAAGAAAGACTAATGACCTGAAATCAGCAGGTCAATTACCTGGTATCACCTTACCTTGAGGTGAACTTTTAAAATTACTATCCAGAATTAATGTGTTCCTTAGTTAACAACTCCATGTCTGGCTCAGCGCCTGTAGCACAGTGGTTATGGTGCCAGGCACAAACACCAAGGATGGTGGATTCGAACCCGGGCCAGGCCAGCTAAGCAACAATGACAACTGCAACAGAAAAACATCCAGGCGTTGTGGCGGGTGCCTATAGTCCCAGCTACTTGGGAGGCTGAGGCAAAAGAATTCCTTAAACATTGGAACATTCCTTAAACATTGGAACATTCCTTAAACATTCCTCACAAACATTGTGAGACTCTGTCTCAAAAAAATAAAAATTAAAATCAAATAAAAAATAAAAATACCTGAATTTTAGAACTCTAAGGACAAAAGGAATTTCATGAAACATCTATGATGGAAGGGTCCTTAAGTGAGATCATGGGAAAACAAGTCTTTCTGAAAGATATTCAGAAAAGCTTCCTCAGCCCTCTTCTCTCCTTTCAATTCTTTTTTTTTTTTTTTGAGACAGTCCATTTTGTCACCCTCAGTAGGGTGCTATGGTGTCACAGCTCACAGCAACCTCAAACTCTTGGGCTTAAGCAATTCTCTTGCCTCAGCCTCCCAAGTAGATGGGACTATAGGTGCCCACCATAAGGCCTGGCTATTTTTTTAGAAATGAGGTCACACTTTGTCTCAGGCTGGCCTCGAACTCATGAGCTCAGGCAATACACCCACCTTGGCCTCCCAGAGTGCTAGGATTGTTTCATCATGATCATAATCCCTAATGTGAGAGCTCATTCTTGCCTTCAAGCCCTTTGCCCACCCTGACCCACTCAAGAACTTGAAGGGGGGCTGGGGCAGTGGCCCATGCCTGTAATCCCAGCACTTGGGAGGCCAAGGCAGGTGGATTGCCTGAGCTCACAGGTTTGAGACCAGCCTGAGCAAAAGCAAGACCTCATCTCTAAAAATAGCTGGACATTGTGGTGGGCACCTGTAGTTCCCAGCTACTCCCGAGCCTGAGGCAAGAGATCACTTAAGCCCAGGAGTTTGAGGTTGCTGTGAGCTGTGTCGGCACAGCACTGTACTGATGGTGACAGCTTGAGACTCTGTCTCAAAAAAAAAAAAAAAAAAAAAAAAAGAACTTGAACTTGAGGGTGGCAGGCAGAGTCTCATTTTGGACTAAGAAACTAAGGAGGTAAGCTATGTAGATTGATAGGACTCTATGCCTTACCATGAAGATCTCATCATACATCAACACCACTTTTTCCTTCAGTGGCTTTTTGGAGGCTGAAGATTTCCGAAGCAAACCTCCTCGTTTTTCTACCTGTGCCATGGTTAGAGAATCTGTAAAAAGAAAGTCATATTTTAGGGCAGTAAAAATACTCTGTATGATACTATAATGGCAGACATAAGTCACTACATTTAACCAAACTCACAAAATATATAACAACAAGAGTGAAACTGTAAACTTTGGCTGATAATGGTATTTAAACATAAGTTTAACAACTATAACAAATATCACTCTGGTAGCGGATGTTGTATAATACGCATATTAGGGGAAGCTGTGGATGTGTGGAGGCAGGGGACATATGGGATATCTCTGTACTTTCCTCTCAATTTTGTTGTGACCTGAAACAGCTCTAAGGAAATGAAGCCTTTTAAAAGAAAGAAAAGAAAAGAGAAAAGAGCAGAGCAGAACCACAGTCAGTGCTAAATGCTCTCCAAGATGCTAGACAGTCTCCTGAAATAATCACTCAGTAAGAAATTTTTTAGGATGGCCATGCATGGTGGCTCATGCCTGTAATCCCAGCACTGTGGGAGGCTAAGGCAGGAGGATTGCTTAAGCTCAGGAGTTCGAGGCTTATCTGAGCGAGAGTTAGACCCTGACTCATGACACAAATGGAAAAACCTAGCCGGGCGCCCGCAGGGAGCTCCTGTAATCCCCACGGCTTCAGAGGCTGAGGCAGCAGGATGCCCACAGCCGGAGTCTGAGGTTGCAGTGAGCTATGACACCTTTGCACTCTGCTCAGGGAATAGAGTGGGACTCTGTCTTGACAAAAAAAAAAAAAAAAGATCTTTTAGGATGAATTGATAAACAACCATGCTATAGAACTTGTGCATCTGTCCAACACCCACTCCCTGACCAGATAATGTCAACGTTTAAAACATGTGGCCCACAGCACAACACATTTTATATCCTTATAATGTGCCAGTGGACAAGGATTAAAGAAGATCCAGAACCAAACAGGAAAGTATAACTAGCTCCCTCCATAATAGGTCTGGCCACATATTTGAGAATGATAAAAGAAAGGTTGCAAAGCACACACCGTCCTCAGACTTATGGTGAAGCTAAATTTCAAATATTGATCGAGCTTTAAAACCATTAAGGCAGGAAGTCTGCAGCAAACTGATGTGCTCCATTGATTTCCCCAAAGTAGGTGCTCATCACTGGAAAGTACTTGGCCTTCACTGCCTCATAAATCATACTGGTCTTGACTGTCTTCAGAAAGTCCACTGGGAAGAGATCCAAGAGAGAAAAGAGCAGTTAAGAGGCCAAAAACTAAATCTGAATTCAAAATAACTAAATATAATAATAAGCCACTTTCAGATTTAGTTACATATACTTGTAACACTACTGTAGACCAAACTTCAATGTATTCTTCAATTCTATATAAAACCAGTTCTGTGAATCATGCCCAGATTTTCCCATCTTGTTTCTTTTTTTTTTTTTTTTTTTTTTTTTTAGACAGAGCCTCAAGCTGTTCCCCTGGGTAGAGTGCCGTGGCATTACAGCTCACAGCAACCTCCAACTCCTGGGCTCAAGCGAGTCTCCTGCCTCCGCCTCCCAAGTAGCTGGGACCACAGGCGCTCGCCACAACGCCCGGCTATTTTTTGGTTGCAGCCGTCATTTGTTTTTGGCGGGTCCGGGCTGGGGATTCGAACCCGCCACCTTAGGTGTACGTGGCTGGCGCCTTAGCCGGCTGAGCTATAGGCGCCGAGCCTCCCATCTTGTTTCTAGGAATTCTCAATTTTTTTTCAAGTGAGAACCTGAAATCCCAAAGATCTCTGCTAAAGATTTATACATATTCCCTCACCTCCTGGGTTCTATCATGAATAAAGTTCCCCTCTCTTGTTCTCTCTTAAATCATAGGTTCTAGCCATGAAACTTAATCTCATGCAATGTCAAGTACAGACCAGGCAGAAACCAGAAAAAAAAATTTTTTTTTGAGACAGAGCCTCAAGCTGTCACTCTGGGTAGCGCACTGTGGCATCACAGCTCACAGCAACCTCCAACTCCTGGACTCAAGAGATTCTCCTGCCTCTGCCTCCCAAGTAGCTGGGACTATAGGCGCCCACCACCACACCCAGCTATTTTTTGGTTGCAGCCATCATTGTTGTTTGGCAAGCCCAGGCTGGATTCAAACCCGCCAGCTCAGATATATGTGGCTGGCACCTTAGCCACTTGAGCTACAGGCGCCAAGCCTACAGAAACCTGATTTTACTTCCAAACAAATCTAAAACAGCAGAACTATTTTGTTCAATGACTTTTGGACAAAAGTCCAAAAAGTCTATCTTTCAAATCAAAATCAAAATTTAAGTAAGAGATGTACCCCAAAATATAAAAGATCATATCTTAGTCTTAGAAATTGTCTTTCTCTAATACATACAGCCAAAATATTTTCCACAACTATGTATTAAGCATCTTCAGCAAAGGGACCACATCTTAAGTACTTGGCTCCTGGTAAATGTTTGGTGTATACAGTTCACTGACTGATTCTGAAATAAGGCCATGGGTGGGGGTAGACCCTGAAAAGTCCTAGGTATCACCTAAAATCTTAGTAAGACCTAGCTCTATCAAGGCTTAACCAAGCCCTCAAATTCTATTATGGTCCTGAGAAAATTAAAAGAGAAAAAAACAACAAGAGAAGACTCTTTGTGATAATTTACATTTACTGCTCATAGCTTTGCCTTAAACCATGAAATAGAGTCACTGTTCAAAACATTATTGTGTCTTTTAAATAGGTTATCAAGAGGAAGATGTCCTTATCAGGGGAAAATAAATTGGAAATCAAGAGGATTCTATTAAAATAAATCAAAAACAATGCAATTCTGAGCTTAGTGGATATAGATTTTGCACATGTTCCACTTCAACCAGTTGATTAGCAGGAATAGTGGGAACCACAAGTTCCTGGATGTGAACAGCACACGTTTACAAACATCCCTCTGAGAATTTATAATTGGGTTATAGCTAATCAATGTCTACCCTAAATCTAAAAACACTCACTTTCACTATTTCAGAATCAATACTTTCTAACAAAGAAAAGGGAATAGGGGAGGAGGAAAAAACAATTCCAATCCAAACTACCAAATTTCCTAAGAAATTAAATTCTTTTCATTACTCTTTCCATCTGAAGCACGGGGAAATGTAGCCAAGGGCCTCAACTTATTACTCACTGTCATCATCACAGACAACTGGAATTTACCACCCAAGATGCTTGAAATATAACTGCAAACTGACAACATGTAAGTCTCTTCCTTGGGCAGCACCTGTGGCTCAGTGGGTAGGGCACCAGCCCCATATACCAAGGGTGGCAGGTTCGAACCCGACCCCAGCCAAACTGCAACAAAAAATTCACCAGGCATTGTGGCGGGCACCTATAGTCCCAGCTACTCAGGAGGATGAGGCAAGAGAATAGCCTAATCCCAGGAGTTGGAGGTTGCTGTGAGCTGTGACGCCACAGCACTCTACCAAGGGTGATAAGAGTGAGACTCTGTCTCTTTTTTTTTTTTTT